TATGCAGTACTTTTAAAGTATTAACGACATCTTTAACAAAACTAAACATACAATATAATTTTAAATCGTACTTTTTCATAAAATAATATAAATAATAGCAATAATTAACATAAAGTCACATTTCTTTAGGTCACAAATAATCACAAATTCATTTTAATGACGATTATTTTTCTGATTAACTTGAAATTTTTTTATTCTTCTCCTTCTTTTTTTCAATTAAAGCTTTTTTGCTAGCTTGTAACTCTTTTTTATTTTTTTAATTGCTTAGCAATTTTTTCTTCTAATAATTCGTTCTTTGACATAACCGTTCACTAAAAAAATTAGAACAAAATAAAATTTAATAATCAAAAAAGATTTTAAGTATTATTTTAATTGTAAATATACATTTCATAATGATTATTTTTATATTTACAAAATATTGAATGACTAAAGTACTTTAAACACTTGACAGATTTAATTTTGAAGTTAAGAAGTTAGTATTATAAATATACGGTGATTAATTGGATTGTGATAAAATCAGAGGGTCTAATAAATGACCGAATGAATTTTTTACTGGGTAAAGGGCTTCTGACATGTCTTCGGAAGGTTCTGGGTTCGAATCCCAGTCCGAGCTATCTAATAATTTTTTCTCGCATATTCTATACACTCACATTAAGAAGTTCCTCTCCACAATCCTTTCTCAATCCTTTCCTACCAATTATCCTGTTACGTGAATGTTGGAACGCTTCACATAATAATTATCCGTAACTCCTATTCTTTCCCGCTTCACAGCATTATTTATATTTGTTTGGCTTTTTTTTATTTTAATACTTTAAGAAAAAAAAACCCTTGTAAAATATTAATTAATTAACTTTTTTATACATCGGTCAACTAATTGATGACCGGTCAACAACTGGTGCATTTACCCTATCTTGATCCAAGAAAATTTATTTAAGTCAAGAGAATCTTGTTTTGAGAAAATTCAGCCTCTTGCTTCAAAAAATTTAGTTCTTGATAGAAGTAAATTTTCTTGTCTTGAGAAAATTTCTCTCTTACTCCAAAAAATTAAATATAAAAATAGAAGTAAATTTTCATTAATATTTTTATTGATTAACATGTCAAATCGGAAGATCAAATAATATTTCATCATTTTTTTTCATTCAATATGTATAATTGCACGCTAAAATAATATAAAATGAGTATCAAATATTCAAGAGAAAAATTTTCTCAAGGTGAGAAAATTTTTTTCTCAGCTGAAGTAGGTGGCGCTGCTTCCCTAAAGTATCTAAAAATCTTGATCAAATATAAAAATTTATTGTATCAAGTATTTATGATAATTTGAATTAAGAAAAAATTACTTCCGCCAAGAATAGAATTTAAAGAAAAATTTTTACTTCGGCCAACAGAACTTCGGTCTTCCTTCATGAAAATGAAGTCAGTCGACATTTCAAAATTTTTAGAAATTTTTTATTGAAAAAATTTCAATTAAAAAATTAAAAAAAAAAATTTCACATGTAAAAAACTCGAAAAACTACAAGTGCAATTTTTTATAAATATCTTTTTAGTTGTAATTTAATTAATAAAAAAAATCAAAAATTTTTAGGCGTCTGCTAACTTCAGTGTCATTCTTCCTTCAGGCACCCGAAAATTTTCTTGAGCCAAGAATTTTGTTCTCCAGTCAAGAAATTTTTCTTTCTCTGCAGGAACGTGGACAATCAATTCCTCAACGTTTCGGTTATTTTATTTAACTTTCATCAGGCGTCTAAAACATACACACATAATACAATATAAATATATATATCCATATTATGGATGCCAATAATCATAATAAATATAATTTTTGAATTATAAATTAAAAAAAAATTGATTTTTTGAGAACATTTAATTTTTTTAAGTAGAATAAAATTGCAAGTGTCAAACAACTAGTCCAGTGTCAATAACTGGGTCTTTTACTTTATATTTCAAGTTTTTAAAATACCTAATAGTGATTACTTTCAAATGTAACACTCATATCATATCACAGTAATCCCGCGTACGCGTTTATAATCAGAATCTAAATGATTTCATTGGTCACACGTCACACGTGGTTTCTTCGTCTAGTTGTATCATTTCTTTATAAATGTTAGTGCTGTAAATGGTCTGGTTAGTTGTAAAAAATTTATCATGTGTTACTGAGTAATATAAGTAATTCTAATAACACTAACAATAATAACAATAATAATAATAATAATGATAATATATGTGAAGCAAAGTATAATCTTGGAGATTACCTCATGATAAAACTGCGTGTTAGTTTTTATAACAACGTTTTATTTGCAACATTGAATTCTTCTCACTGAAGAATATATTATTGAACTGTGTACTGTGCAGTCACAATTATTTAAAAAATTTTATTGAGTGTTAATTTATTTTTTAAATTAAAATTGTGATTTCAGTTATTTGCCTAAAGGATTTTTAATTATCCATTGAGAAACTAAGGTAAATTATTTAATAAATGTGAAAATGTAAATTAAAATGGTTTTACGATAATTTAGTGTAAATTAATACTAGAAACTTTTAAATGAAAAATAGTGAAAGTTTGAATTTTTTATAGATAAAATTAGTTTCTATTTTTTGAAATTAGGAAACCTATAATTTTTTTTTTTACTTTTCTTTAATCATTTATTTGAATTGAATTGAATTGTAAGTAGAGTTTTATTTGAAATCGTTTTCCTTAAATTGAAAAATTTGTCACAAAAGAAATGTAAACTTTGACCTCAATTTCCTGGTTGTTTTTCTTCAATCTAGTTTTATCTCAAAATAAGTAAAGTTTGTATTTGTCGAAAGATTCTATAGAAAACTATTTGAATGTTTGTTCAAAGAAAAATTTTTAAACGGTGTTCAAAAATAATATTAAAATTAAAAATGTAAGACGAGTAGGTACATTTATATAATTAAAGTCTAAAAACTTGATCAAAAGAAACCTTATTACCCACCAGATGGCTACTGGGTCAACAAAAAAGAAGAAAAAAACCTTCGAATTTTATCCCGCGGCCGAGTTTTATTTCCCCACAAAATAAAAAAAAAAAAAAATCTCCAAGCGCAATCGATTTTCTGAATTTACGGACTAGACTATAAACAGCAAAGCATAGTCTCGCATCTGAAACACCTAAAATAGGAAGTAATAATATATAAAACAATTTAATATAATTCTTTAACAACATTACTTTTTAAAAAACGTTTGAAATAAAATTCGATACGTGCAAACTGTAAGATGTTTGAGACTAGCGCTCATCATATATTAAATTTTCAATTAAAATGGAAATTATTGCTCGCAGTTTATTGTTAAATAAAATCATTATTATTATTATTTATATTATTAAGAGAATGAGAAAAATTCTGTTTCCCGGATAGTTATATGATAAAATCGGTTTTTTTAGTGGAATATTTAGTGTCATTGCAAAGGTCTTGACTTGAATTTGTGCCTTTTCAAGGTTTCATATCATTCTCACTGATAGTCAATTTATGACGATAAGTATTTAGGCTGCATTCGAAAATTCTCTGTCTCTAGATACATAATTAAAAAATGACCTTGTATATATTGAACTATTAACATTTTTAAAGATATCAGCTCACCCCGACATTACACTCATCGAGACCTTTCATTTGAGTACCCACATCAATTTTCATATATTTTAGATATTATATATATGTATATATGAAAAATATATCAAAAATGCATGTGGGTACTCAAACGAAAGCTCTTTATGAGTGTAACATCAAGATGAGCTTATATCTTTAAAAACGTTAATATTTAAGAAAGTACAGTGCAATTTAACAAATATCTTGTGAACTATTGACATTTTTCAAGATATAAGCTCACCCCGGCATTACACTCATCGAGACCTTTCATTTGAGTACCCACATCAATTTTTCATATATTTATATATATATATATATATGAAAAATATATCAAAATGTATGTGGGTACTCAAATGAAAGCTCTTGATGAGTGTAACATCAGGATGAGCTTATATCTTTAAAAAGGCCAATAGTTAAGAAAATACATTGCAATTTAACAAAATTCATTATTTAATAAAGTGAAATTTTATTTATTTGCAGTTTACAAGTGACGGCAGTCACATAGGATGCTAGTTATTATTTTGTTATTGTTATTGTTAGATAGAAATTGACTCGATTGAAAGTTCAAAGATTTAGATATTCATTGATTATCATCACGATCGCATTAAATATAATAATAATGTTAACAAAACCCACGTGTATTCTTTGTTTATAATCGTAATTGTAAATGTGAATAAAATTTGTCATAGATTAAACGTGACAACACAATGAGTGTCGGTTTATATACAAAAGACTAACATATGATAATAATAAAAAGGACATGTTTGACACGATAGGTAAACCGTGGTGATCACTCGGATACGGAGAGACGAAGTAAAGCAACAACTTCCGTCGATCGATTCTCCACGCTCACGGTTAACTCCCTGGAGTTCACCTTTACGCCACGCCTTGTGTCGTTCACTTTTGTCAGGATTACCTTTACCTCTTCTGTTTTTATTTGTAAATACACGGATGTACAGATCTATCTAAACTCACAGAGATGAGAACGAGGATGACTTACTTTCGGCACTTTAACAACACACTGAGATAAAATTGTAGTAAATTTTTCTTGAAATATGGGTTAAAGTTACTAAATAAAAATTGTAATTACAAAATTTTAAGATTTAAGAAAAATTATTATTAGTTTTATTTTTACGGTATTAGTCAGCCGTTTAAGCGGATTGTTTATCTACAAGTTATTATGATGCAAGACTTTAAGTCTAAGTGAATATAATCAGCTTCGGTTAATCCGAAGAAATAAGAGTCGGAAACGACAATTTAAATAATAAAATAAAAATATATTATATTGTACTGTTATAAATTAATGTTGTATTGTTTGGTTTGTTGTAGGCTTCGTAGTATGTCTTGACAAGTGAAGAAGACTTTCGAACGAGGGTCTCGGCAGTCAAGGGTTCATCACGATGGTGGTCGGTCAACAGCTTCCGGAACAGTACACTGTACCACAACTAGCCAATTTCTTTCACAGTCTACCACATCTCAATGTTTCGTTCCATTTGGTTAACAACACCTTTAATCCTGGCTCTGATATATATCTCGAGGTAACGCTTTTATTCCTTTCTTCATTTTCACGGTATTTTCTGTTTTGTAGTTTGTACTCTGTAGAGTTACCTGAAGGTTCTTACCTTTTTTATTTTCATGAATAACAGAATGGGAGCGAAATAATATTTTATGCTTTATTGTGGCTTAGTTCTAAAAATAAAGCTAATCTCAAGATGACACTTGAACACGATTTTTTGTCGCTGAGGTTTAGGAGAAATTTTTTTATAAACTTTTATTGTAGATTACAGGTTTTTTTTTCCACCACAATTAATTTATGTCGAAATAGCTAAACATTACGTAAATTTATGTTATTAAGAGAATAAGAAAAATTTTGTGTCCAGGATAGTCATATGATAAAATTGGTTTTTTTTTAGTGAAATTTAGTGTCATTACAAAGGTCTTGATTTGAATTTGTACCTTTTCAAGGTTTTATATTATTCTCACTGATAGTCAATTTATGATGATAAGTATGTAGACTGCATTCGAAAATACTCTATCTCTAGATACATAATTAAGAAATGACCTTGTATCTTGTGAACCATTGACATTTTTAAAGATATAAGCTCGCCCTGACATTAAACTCATCGAGACCTTTCATTCGAGTACCCACATCAATTTTTCATATATAAAAAATGCCATTTGGGTACTTAAATGAAAGGTCTCAATTAGTGTTACATCAAAATGAGTTTATATCTTAAAAAATTTCAATAAGTAAGAAATTACCTTGTATCTTGTGAACTATTGACATTTTTAAAGATAAAAGCTCATCTCGGTGTTACACTCATCGAGACCTTTCATTTGAGTACTCACATCAATTTTTCATATATTTATATATATTATATTTATATATATTATATTTATATATATATATGAAAAATATATCAAAATGCATGTGGGTACTCAAATGAAAGCTCTTGATGAGTGTAACATCAGGATGAGCTTATATCTTTAAAAACGTCAATATTTAAGAAAGTACAG